TTTTGTTGTAATAGATTTCGGGCGTGAGTACACTCAGCGTACGTCTTTCACTGCATTCTGTATTATTGTTATCTGTTTGGGCATGCGCAGTGCGTTGAGAATCTTCGTGAAGCTTCCGAATACAGCCGAAACACGTAAGCCGATTAACTGTGACATTGTACAGCGTGTTTGCAAACTAATTACATTGTGTATGTGAGTAAACAAATCCAAAGCATCATGAAACCAGCGGAAACAATAGCGTCATCACTCCTTCTCTTTTCTACCTCCATGGAATACAGGTGTGACAAGCCAATGTTTACAGATGACAATTGTTATGCAAAGCAGCATGTTGACAAGAATTTGTAAACACAGATGGTAATACAGCTGAGGAATATCGTGAATTAGCATGATTATGCAAATTGTAATGAATGCATTGACATCAAGAGGTCAGTTCAGAACAGATCTCATGGACTGACCACTATAGACATTGGAAGGTCAAACACATGTTTCTGTCAGACAATAGCAGGATTACCAGCACTCTAAATGTTTTGATTGCAATAAGCATTGTACAAGAGAATTGTACATTGTATGGTCAGTAAGTCTTCAGTAAATCATAAAGTGGCCAGTCACTGAGGATAATTAGTCTTAGCAAAACTATTGTCTGCTAAGCTCATTACCAAATTCTCTATCCACTTATGGGGTGGATATAACATTAGTCAATGAAAAACCACAATATTTGCCACATTAATGAATCAAATATGCTACTAAAATAAAGACTAATCAATATGTCTTCTAGATGTTCAATTTACTTTTCTGTGGGTGGCCCCTTAAGCTTTTGGTTGAAACGACATAAATTATTGTAGCCATGCATTTTGATGAGAAGCTATTGACATGGCAAAGGGTTAGCAGAATGCTTTGCTATTGGCATCTAAGCAAAAGTAAATGGGAAGTCGTTGGCGTTGTTAGTGAGAAGCCCTTTCATTGGCTACAGGGAAAGGGTAAAGGGTTACGTCCCACCATTGCTGTCTGGCAAAATTTAACAGGAGACCATTTCATTGGTGTCTGGCAAAGGGTTAATGAGAAATCTTGACAATGGCATCAGGCATAGGTTCAATGGGAAAGGAAAGGGTTAACAGAAAACCCCACCACCTGCGTGAGGCAAAGGGTTAACAGAAAGCCCCACCACCCGCATGAGGCAAAGGGTTAACAGAAAGCCCCACCACCCGCGTGAGGCAAAGGGTTAACAGAAAGCCCTACTATTGGTATCTGCATAAGGGTTAGTAGGCAGATTGCAGATTCAATTGTCAACTACGAATTATTATACCAGTACAGGTCTCCCTGACAAAATATAAGTGTTTACTTTGTTCCAATAAAATACAAGAGTACCATGGTAATGGACAAATGCTAGGGTCAGTAATTAAATGTCTGGGACATGTACAAGAGAAATACTTTTTGAATAGTTACCATAATTAGTAGTAATATTGGAGGATTATATTGTATGTACTTGGATGATATGACATAAGCCAGTGATACACTCCTACGACAAGAAGGAATGCTATCTCTACACTTAGGCATGTTAAGCATACCACAGCAGCATCAACATTTTACCAAAATTGTGGTTATCAAGAAATATCATCACCTGACACAGGTCAGATGGAGGATCACCCATAAGACAATTTACCCATTGGGTGGGTTAGAAATAAAGCATGCCTCCCCCCCCCCCCCCCATTTATGTGACTGTATGGGAACTGAACAGGAATGTTACATACAATGAAATAACTTCAAAGGTTAAGTTGCACATAAATCACTGACAATGAGACAACCAGGTCACTATAGTGTTGTGAGGCAGGGTTAAAATTAAGGCCTGTCCATCTGTCCCAGACAGGCAGATTTTAACTAGGACAGGTAAACATACAAATTGCACATGTACACGTATGTGAACAGATATCAAGTTTTTACTAACTTACCAAATGGAGTTGACCCCCTAGTTGCTGATTGTTTTTATAGTTTAGACTTGAAATGATGATGAGCCAATAATAAACAATACGTCTTAATATATCTTGCTAGACACAGGTACATCATCAATTGAAGCAGACTTTTTTAATCACCACCATGTCCAATGGACAAGATACTTTTAATTTCAACCCCAGGGAGGTCACCAGAGGTCACTTACCTGCAGAGATATGGACTTTAAAACCATCTTTCATGCGTTCTGCTAAAGCACCGAGACATTCTAAACCAAGCAAGGATACCTGTAAAAATATAAAATATGAAAGTAAAATTATTAATCAGAAAAACACAATTCATTTTCGATATTCAACGCCCGTGTTTTCGATTGTTTTCCCATTTTGTGCATAGTGATGAGCGTTGTCTAAATTTCTCGCTGTTGTTGAAGGAACGTTCCAACAAAGTTTGGGCGGCGTGACTGGGCCTTAAGCTAGTTTTAATTAAGTTAGCTGAATGTTAAGTTGACACTCAGACTGTACTGTACATTTTGTAAGTAGTTGCACCCAGTAGACAGGAGAATGAACATTTGGAAGACTTTCACATCCAAAATAGAGCTTACAGGCAGCATGATGGGTGTTTTGTGTTTTTCTCCGAGGTTGAAAAACATATAAATGCACTTGCACTTTTTTAAAATATCATGTTTGTTATGTTATCGTAGTAGTGTTTTACTGCAACAAATAGTTTTCATTCCAAATGCAGTAAGTCTACCAGGGAAGTAGTACAAGGCCTGTATTTTGTGTTTTATGAGTTGTTTTTACTTTCCTTGCATGTGTAAATGCAGAATGAGAAGTGGTGTTCTGCTTCATTTACAACAAACAAGCTTTTTAGTCAGAATTACCTCCTTAGTAAACCAACCATGCACCACACGATAGAATTACCTCCTTAGTAAACCAACCATGCACCACACGATAGAATTACCTCCTTAGTAAACCAACCATGCACCACACGATAGAATTACCTCCTTAGTAAACCAACCATGCACCACACGATAGAATTACCTCCTTAGTAAACCAACCATGCACCACACGATAGAATTACCTCCTTAGTAAACCAACCATGCACCACACGATAGAATTACCTCCTTAGTAAACCAACCATGCACCACACGATAGAATTACCTCCTTAGTAAACCAACCATGCACCACACGATAGAATTACCTCCTTAGTAAACCAACCATGCACCACACGATAGAATTACCTCCTTAGTAAACCAACCATGCACCACACGATAGAATTACCTCCTTAGTAAACCAACCATGCACCACACGATAGAATTACCTCCTTAGTAAACCAACCATGCACCACACGATAGAATTACCTCCTTAGTAAACCAACCATGCACCACACGATAGAATTACCTCCTTAGTAAACCAACCATGCACCACACGATAGAATTACACAATTATTTCTACACTACATGTCTTGAGTGAAAAAAACAAACATTCACCTGCCCTTCAACTCTACCTGAACCACTAAATTCAAATTCCAATTTTAATTGAGACAGGAGATCATTGCAATGGTTTGTGGGGTACAGGTAATGGCAGAAATTGAAGGGGGAGGACTAAGTTACAACAATAGAAGAGGTTGTACATGTGTACTAAGATTCTGCAAATGCCGATACCAAGAAAACTTTAGTAGTGCACTCACACAATCAGTAAAATCTAGAGGACAAATAAAGTTTTATGTAATCTGATACTTGAAACACTTTGACATAGTTGACATCACATGACCACTCCACTATCGTAATTGGATCACAGCCAATCAATTGATGTAATACATGTAAAACTATAGACCTTAAAATGACCTACAAAATGTACTGGAGAATGTGAATCAATAACTTGTATGAAATTGATGAATGTTCTAAAGATAGCTGACAGTTCAAAGGGACACTGTACAACCATCAATAAATGCAAATAGTGTTATTGGATTTAAGAAATAAATAAAATAATTATTAAAATTGATTTTCAATGAATCTGTAATCTTGCAATGATGATACCGAGGGAGATGTGATTTCACTGTTTTACATCAACCTGCAAGTCATATACCATAACATATTTATTATTATTATTTATTAAACCAAGTGAGCGAACAAACAAACATTCTAAACAAATGTGAAATCAAAATAAAATAATTTTCACAAAATTAATACTACACAACAAAGCTTGGGAGTGTTTATTGAATTTTGTACGACCTTTGACCCTACTGCAAATACCAGCTCAGTGTACCTTCCAGACGAGATAGCAATAAAACTGCGAAATAAATTCATCCATGTCAATGTACTTTAACAGCCACGAGTAAACCATTATGTGCTGATAATAGTTGCTTTAGTCTCTTGATTGCAGCCATGAGGAAAACAACATTACCCATACAATAGAGTGGGTGTGGTAAATTCAAGGCAAGCTGTTCCCAGCTTTAGACTGACCGTTCTTGACCTTTTACTATCTATCGATTTTGTTGCATTTTACCATAGAAATGGGTATATAAACTGTCTTCATACACACACAGAATGCTGAATTCCATTACTGACAACCACCGGATTACTATACTAGTATATACTTAGGCACAAACTAGTACTGTGATATCGAAATACCAAAGGACAGAGAATATGTTAGTTCAAATAATGTTTTCATTTATAAATGCCTTTTATATTTAAAGTATGACAAAGGGATTATTAAAGTTGTGAGGTAGGCTTATACAATATAGCATAGAAAGTTTGTACTGCAACCAACTGTAATTGAGAAAAGAAAGTTTTAGTGGTGGAAGTGAAAAAATAAAACACAATTTATGGCAGGGAATTTTTGGTATTCATTGTAATGCCTTCACACTACAATAAGCAAAAAACAGTTGGTTGTAAGAAAATTGCTGGAAATAGGAATTACGCACAATAAGACTTAAAATATTTTAATAAATGTTTTAATCATGGATGAATGAATGGTGAAATCATGTCGCAGGCATTTTTGATGCAAAGATTACAAAGACGGCAGTAAGGGTTACCAGAATGAAAACAACTTTCATGGACATTTATTGAGTATCTGTATGAATAGCCTAAGCCACAGTAGTCTGGGACCATGAAATGCACCCTATTGAAATAACATTTTCACTAAACATGTCATGACTGTGAACTACAGTGGATTGAGCCAACAACATCATTACTATTCAGTCTCATTGTAAATGACTGATAAACATGTATAGTTCAACAACAACTGCATTATTGCCTATTTATACAGCACAGCAGCATAGATGTATGTATACTAAAACCTGGTAAACTGAAAACCTAGCCAGAGGCATGTATACAAAGGGGTTTGGTTCATAGACTTAGATTTTTGATGTAAATGTAGAGAAAGCATTTAGTATGGAAAGATCATTGAATACACAGGTTAATACTATGTTACCTATAAATCAAAGTAAACATGTACATGTGTATAGCATGTGCGATTCAAATGGCGCAAAAGTGCAGCATCAAATCGCTTAGTCACACTCGGACATAATTAGACATAATTAAAAATGAAGCTGAATAATTTACATGGGATATTAATGGTTATTTCTAAATATAACCTATAAAGCAATGAACTCCTTATGTAATTCTGAAATATGTTTGAAGACATGGCACAGGCTTTTAGCTCAGCCTTAAAGGGCGATGGTCGCCGCGCTGTGTTCTGTTCGATATGGGACTCATAGCGATGTACACAATGCGTGTAAAATACATTGTTTACATGAAATTAAAACACTCGCTGCGTGCCGACCAAGCCCCTTTAAAGGGCAATGGAGGCCATGCAGCTTGTTTTCAAATTTCATGTAAACTATGTAATTCAATGTAATATATATTGCTATGAAACTTGTATCGAACAGTTTGGTGGCGCTAGTGAGGAATATACATGTACTACACATGGTACACTGCTCACAGCTGAGGGAGAATATTGAAGATATGATATGTGTGCATACATGCAATAACAATACAGTTTGTTATGACACGCACAATACACTATTGTTATACTGTAATACCAGCATATTTATTAATATCAATATGCAGTGACATTTGCGGCAATAGGAGAACAGAGATCAACTTGTGTTCGTGCACAACAGAAATGTCCATTAGTATTAGATTTTTAGTGAAAATATGGAAATCCATCATTAGTTATATCAATCAATTAATTATATTTGTTAACATTACAAATAATGAATTAAATAACTAGTGAAGATATTAGTTACATTTATATCATTATAGAATAGCATATTTTAATCATTTTGCATCTTAATGTTTAATTACATACATGTATTGTGTAAATTTACAGTTAGTGATTGAAAGTGTTCAGATACACTTGTAACACAAGTCAGTTAATCTATGATGGTAAAGGTGTTTTCACCACATACTGTAAAAATATATATTTTCACTATTTTGAAAATATGCACTGTGTTTTAATTTCACAAATTAGTCCAGGATACAATGAGTTTTATGATTATTTTACATGTTTACATTTTAAACTCAGCAAATGATTAATGCATTTACAGTAACCAACATTCTTGACATATACAGTTACATATAAGCATTGCACATAATAGTACCTATATTGCAAGTAATTTTATGTTTTAGCACAATTTATATCAGTGTAAACAAATACATAAAACACTAATATTTTGTTCAAAACAGAACAGGAGATTCAATATAGGATTCATGTCTCCGAAGACTGTTCAGTATGTAGGCTACTGACCCAGAGAAGAGTCTAGGGTCTATGGGTAAGATAGGTATTTATACTGATATGGGAATAA